TATCCCTTTTGGACCACGTTACATTGAGCAACGAAATCCACCACGTTTGAGGTTTCAAGAGTTCTACTTCCAAACAGACTGCTAGCACCATTTTGTATCTCCATGCATGGACTGCTGACCAGCACAGTGGAGTGGATCGTACATGTAGTTTTCATTGTAGGGGCCCGACCATTCACTGGGAGTGAGTCCAAGGGGCTGGCCAGCAAATATCAAAATGGTGCAAGCATGTCTGTTATTGGGGAGCAGAACCATGATAATTTGCTCATTAGTCAGGTCAATATGGTATTGATTCAAGGTAAATCATGGAGAAGGGTCATCCATTTAGTACGAGCCATGAAAATCAATGTCAATTTGCAAACTCGAATGCATTTGCTGTAATTATTTTTGCCTGAAACGCATAGAGAGCTTTAAAAACTTTAAACGTGTGTACATATGGATGGCCCCTATAAGTTCCTATATATACATACTCTATAGAAGCGAAACAGCCTATCTTCCGCATCTTCGAAATAATTCAGGAGCAGGAAGAAAACACATTGGCATTGAGGGTCTGTTGATTTTGTCTCCTCTACCTCGGCCTTTATGATGCCAATCCACTTCTTCACATCAACAGACTTCTTCTTCTGTGTCCCTGACAATATGTACTCGTATATGCGGCTACCCTTGTTCCTAGCGAGAAGCGACTCTTCCATTGCAGATTCCGGATTTATCTCGGTGAGCATGTGGAAATGGTTGACAAGACACTTATAGGTCAAGAGAAAAGGCCACTCCTTATTGAGTTCAGCAATAGACATGCCACTGCAAATATCTTTGCGCTGGAGATGTCGTGTCAGTCATTAGCTTCATCACTTTCTCAGTGTCACAGTCTGGTAGGTCTTTCAGATTTTGCAGCAGTTTTTTCTTCTCCATCTGGGCATTCAACTCATCTTCATTTGGACAGTCTGGCAACCACATTCCTGTTTGCATCCATACATGTCGAAGTCAGCAGTACCCTCTGAGCCGTCATCTGAAGCTTTTGATTGCAGCACTTCAGCTTTACGTTTGCGAATCTTATGAGTCTCATTGTAAATGCGATTCTCTATTCCAGAGAAGACAGACTGGTACCCATTGCCCAGTTTGGTTCCTCCAATACCCCTGTCTTCAAACGAGCATGGGTACCTGTCACAAATGGCTTTGGCAGCTTTGCGAATAGCTCCGCGTTTAGTAACTCCCACTGCCATCATTTCATCACTGACCATTCGCTTAACTTCACATGTCTCTGAGGCTGTAAGGCACTTCCGATTGGCACACTTCTTCATCACGGTGCGTGGGAATTTATGCCATGGGATGCTGAACTCTGATTTGGCTGGTTCAGGAGTAGAGTACACGCTGGATTCTTCAGAATCTGTCTCCGGAATGGTGCTTGTGGAGGACATGGAACTTTCCAACATACTGCGTTCATCAAGATCTGTGCCAGAGGGAGAAGCTCCTCCTGAAAAACTGTGACAAATCTATAAAATCAACAACATAATAAGAAGCCCATGGGCCTAGCACTTTGCTGACGGATAGCTGTGATGGGTAGGATAAATGAGGAATGTAAAGTTACATGTAGCATTTGGAGATTAAATCTTCAGGTGATGAATGAATCCACAAAAAGACATCCCTCAATGCTGGCATCAACATGAACCTTCACAAGAAACCAACATGTACCTATACCACAAAACCAATAGCTGCAAACTTCCCCCCCCCACCACACCTCCTTTCAATCCACTGTCTCCTGATTTTTAAGCTCAATAAAATTTGATCAGATTCAGACTGCATGCATTTACCACATTGCGTTATTTTTTAATCCAAACATTTAAGGGCCATGAAAGATGACAATTTCAGGGATGATATTGTCAACTGAAGAAATAGTCTGAAAATGTACTTAAATGTCTGAAACTTTGTATCTTACTATAATGAGAGTGTGGTTTCTCTGAGGTTAAAAATGTCCCAATTCAAATAAAAGTCTGAAAAATCTCACGCCTGCAATTTAGCTGAAGCCTAGTTCGGTTCATTCACACTTAAATTGTCCCCAACTCACTTCAGCACATCTTATTTTGTAAAGTCCCTTTAATAACCACATTTAGGCAAAACAAAATAAATTGTGTGTTTACGGTAATGACTTGCAACAAATTCAGGTAGGAAAATAATTTTATTTTGTTGCTTATTTTTTCCATTTCAGTCAAGTTTTCAGTGTGGCAACTGATTGTGTTTGTGGCAGATAATTGAAACTAAAAAGTTTGAGGTTGGAAATTTGGCTGTGAAAAATCCAGGTAGGTCGGGTTACCGTAAACACATCATTTATTTTGCTTGGCCTTACTGGTAGCAGGTCTATGAAGAAGCCATACCAGTGGCGTATCCAGCCTCACAGCAATAAAAAGCAAGACTAAGAGTTACGGGGGCACATTCCCCCCCCCTCCCGTAACCCTTTGTTTTGCTGTACTTTAATGAGGCTGGATACACCACTGCATACCATGCTTTCTTTCAGAAACAGCAGCCAAAAGTTTCCTCCTTCGTAACGGTTTTAGGTAGTGCAGGTCATCCTCTGTAGCATGGTGCAGATCTTCAACTTCATCACACCCAAGTTTGTCAACAAGTGTAATCTCGATTTCTCAAAGATTCTCATCGTCCAAAGTAGGGAAAACCTGTGATAGGAACTGTGTTAACTCCGCTGCCTCTTTTGTCCATTGTGCTTTCTGAAATAGCAGACAGAAGGCTATAACTACCATCGGGATTAAAATTAAAAAGTTGCAGGTAAAAATTGTATTTCCCTTTTTCTAATTGTGGCTCCGGAGAGTTGTTTCAAGGGAAATTAAGTCTGAATTGTATGTAGGTTTTAATTTCTTTTTTTATCATTTCATTATCAAGTCCAAAACGTCGTAGCATACACCCATTGACAAGTCATTTAGGGAGTGGCAGTCGCCTGATGTACATGTATATTCATCTTGAGCCAAGACTTCTTCAGTGAAAAAAATCCTGACATCTGATAAATCACCAAACCCGAAGCAGGCATCTCTAATAGGTTTAAATCATGATCACAATTCAAACATGGAGAGAACAGGACATGGCAGACTAAAAATCAGTGTTCTCCACGGTATGAAATTTTGGCACTGTAACATAAAATTTTGGCAGGGGTGGGCCACCCTGCTAAAATCCCTGTTGAGAACACCGAAAAAATGGTGCAAAGAATTCCACAAAGAAGTTCATTTGACACTGCCTGCAAAACATTTGAGACTGGTCTAAATAATTATTGCTTTTCTACGAAATGTGTATACATGTATGACATGTACATGCACTACGGCTTATAGGTCGTTTTAGGGGTTAGAGTGAGCTTATATGTACGTATATACAACCCTCACAAAATCTTGACTACCTGTAGTGACTTCATTTCAAAGAAATTTACCTCACACTTCGTTCACTGCTCTTCATCAATGAAACAGATAGAAGGATTCAGGGCAATGCACTTTCTGCGACTAACAGTGTAGGCATGGAGAGGCTGAGTATCTAAAAGTTGCCGTCTGTCAAGGCATTTCAAGTTGGATCCATGTGCTTCATGACCTGATGCTTCAAGTAACTCATACACCCCAAGTGCAGGGTCGTAACTGCCTCTTATGATTGAGACAAGCAAATGGCATGTACTAGAATTGTCACTGCCCAATATGAATGACTGAATGAGACCAAAGCTTAGATGGAATCTATCCACATCAGTCTGATTGACAACAACATACTTCCCTTTGCAATAATGTATGCCATCAATATCGACTGAGTCAGAGATGTGAACATCATCACCAATATGCACCCCACATTTCTCCACAGCAGAATTCAGGGAAAGAGCATACAGATGTGAATAAAATGGAATGGATCTTGCAGCTGAAATGCCAATACTGAAATACTGACCACGTCTACAAAAGGCTTGCAGAAGCTGGTGCTTTTCAGCTAATGATTTGGTAATATTGATAAAATTGGCACAATGGCGAGCATGCGATTTTAAGTAAGAATGCTTACTTTCAAACCTCATGGTTCATGCTCTGATCAATGGGCCACACTTCAGGATCAGCTCTGGATAGTGTCGCAGGTAGTGGTGTTTGGGTCGGAGGTTAACCAAAGGAAATGCTTCTTTTCTATCCAACGAATACTCATCAATCAAAGACACAAGAGACAAGACTTGCCCACGTGAGATTCTTTGGGAGCAGACAAACTCAACTATCTCTCTAAGGCACAGTATCAGTTGCCATGACTGATCTTGTGGGTCCTGAACAACAGCATGTAGAAAGAATGGAAGATTTCTCAAAAGGCACCAGTTCTCAACAGCATGGCCTGATATTTCTTCCCCTGAGCTACTAATTTCTGGGGGTTTATCATTTGCATCAAAACCTTTCAACTGGGTCCTTTTCATAGTCCTATTAAGATAGTCATACGAGAACCACTTTTTCTTCACTAGGTCCTTAATGAAAAGTGCTAAATCACACCTAACAATGCCTTCAAAGAGGTCATGGCCCAAGCAAGGATGCAAGCCAGGATTACATACATGAAAATACCTCAGGCTATTGAAGACACAAGCCGTAGTAATTCCCTTGAATGGCCCTTCAAGATTTTCAAGGTGGGTGATGGCTGCCTCATAATTGTCCACTGTTCTTAGTTCTGCATCATTGACAGGGTTTTTTTGGAAATCGGCTTGTGTGATCAGACAAAATCGGCACATGTAAGGATGTGAAGAGAAGTTCTGACAAAACCCCCCAACACAATGGCTACCCAAATTATCACCAAGAATATAAAGAACGGAACTTGGTACATTTTGGTTGTCTCCCATTTTCATTCCATTTTCCTCTATATCCTGCAAGTCGGACACCAGCCTCTGAAAAACCATGTCCATGCCAAAGTATTTGAAGTCCTTCTCTCTGCACAGAAGCACCAACTGCATTGGTTCAATTTTAGACCGATTCTGAGGGAGTAAATTCCCAAAAGTTGCATAGACAGCCAGAAATTTGTGCTTATTTTTGGCGGACCCTAAAGGATTCACCACCTCGAAAGCATCCTGGTAGAGCAGAAAGGAACTGCGTCAGGATATTTTCCAAACAGTTCATGTTTTTGGAAAACCTCTCCACTATGAAAATCTTCATAAATATCACTAGCAACATTTAGTTTCATTTTGTATTGCTTCTGCACTGATGGATCTTGAAAGAATTCAGCTGTCTCTCTTATGGGGACATACTGATAATGCCTTTCTAAATTCTTCCCATCTCTACCTAAACATACTGATACTAGGGCAATAAAATCGAGATGCTCCTTGTAGAATTTCTTTCTGCAGTAATTTGACCTCAAAGTACCATCATGGCTGTTGTGCACTAAGTGAAAGAGATCACTACTGAAAACTTCATTGACTATAAGAGGGATTCGGTCAAGAGCTATGCCCTCTTCTTCAAGGGTTTTTTTCAATTGCAGCTGCAATTGTTCTTGGCTAATATCATGGAAATTACAAACACCTGTGACAATTTTCTGTAAAGTGGACTGTGGTACATGCTGCTTTGATTCGAGCCCCAAATAAAACAAAGCTACACTTTCAAGAAACACATCATCCGACAAACTTTCATCAGAATCAGTTTCATCTTCCTCCACTGCAGGAGCTTGCTCCTGCATTTCCAAGTTGCTGCCTCCTATGTTGCAATCATTAGCTGTGCACTCCACAGAGGGAGACATGACAGGACAACCACCTCCTGTGGCCGAATCGGGCATCACTGGTTTGCATGGCAAAGTGGGATGAATACGAGACAAATGTGAAGTCAAGGAAGATATGAACCTATACTGAGAAGTGCATCCTTTAAAAGGGCAGTTAACTACCGCTCCATTCTTGATGTGCTCCTTTAAGTGAGCCAACAACACACTGTACTGGTCACAAGGCATCTCACAGAGAGTGCAGGTTAAATCCACCAATTTATCCTCCAAGTCCACCTGTCCAAGTTGAACGTTGTGACATTCACTAGAAGTGCTGGTGTCTGATGATTTCGCAGTGATACTGTGAGAAACCCTGTAGTTAGAGTGGTCTCGTGAGAGATGCGAAGTGAAGCTTTCGTAAGCCCTAAAGGCTCGGGCACAGCCAGGAACACCACAGGGAAAACTGGTGTTATTAATGTATCTATGAATAGCATAATGATGGGAATAAGTTTTTGGTGAGTTTGATCTGTAATGGCAGTGACGACACTTGTACATACTTAACGAGTCAGGAAACAGCTAATTGAAATTTTAGGAAGCACGCAGGGACCCCAAAAAGCACACAGTAACCTGGAAGTGAAAGAATGTCAATTTTCAATACAGGAATTCGCAGAAGGCCACCCATTCCTAAACCAATTGCCTACACCTTCAAGTGATACGCTCAATCCCTGGAAGCTACATGTACATTAACACTTCCATAAACACTGGCTTTGGGAGTAGGGTATGAAATGGAATTTTTCTTTTGATGGACAGCTTTATTTGTTTATAAATATAAAGAACATCATAACACAAGTTGAATGGTGCGAGAATTGTTATCGGACAACCGGTTCAAGATGTTTCAATAACAAGTTTCATTCATGAGAATATATGTACTGTTTGTACCTTCTTCAAAACATCCATGTTGATTGTTGATTTTTAGAGGAAAATTCGGAACCCCATACCCCCAAAAAACCTGAACAAGTAATGTGTCCCAAAAATCATTAAAAACATGGAAAAAATATCAATGGATAGGGTTTCAAAATATGGAATTTTCAGTGCCACGAAACATTCCTTTCTGACCCAATGAATGATGGAAAGCGCAAAATTTAAAAAAAAGAAACCCAGGGGTCTAGGCCTATGACTATCTGCGCTAGAAAGTACATGTAAAAGGCCTGACAGATGGGGCCCTAACTTAAGTTCCAAACACAATTCTAGAACAGAAATCATCACCCAAGTTCATGTAAAAAAAAATTGAGTTGTAATTGTAGGGTCAGTCAGTGCGACATTTCCGGATTAGTCACTCATGTTTGGCTTTTTTGGATAATTGTTGCAACCTGACGCGACTTTGTAAACCTAAAATTCCACATTTTGTGCTCCTAACGTGTCCTTCATAGAGTTCACTTTCATGTGAGCACTGTTTGGAGTTTGTGGGCAAAGTCTTTTGATGAGTTTTTGGGGCAAAAATCCATTCAACTTTGTACATTTTTAATATGTGGACACATGTGTACATCCAAAACATGGCGTCCACATATGGAAAATGCACTAAGATGACCAGAGTTTTGCCCACAAAACTCCATGAAAGACTTTCCCCACAAACTCCAAACAGTGCCCACATGAAAGTGGACTCTATGAAGGACAAGTTAAGATAAAAAAATGTGAGATTTTCGGTTTAGAAAGTGGAGTCAGGTTGCAACATTTTTTTCCGGATTCTTCATCTTAGAAAAATTCTGTTTTTTCCATCCTACATAGGCCTAGCCTAGGCTAGCCTAGGCTAGACTCAAACATGTCAAAGTCTAAAGACAAAGTCAAATTAGGCCTAAATAAAATTAGCCTAACGAGAAACAACATGACGGTACGCGGCATTTTCTTTAATTTTACACATTTTAGGACATTTCTTGTAGTTCCCAATATTGACATCTTAACGAAAACTATGACGTTTGGCACTGACACACTACCATCGTACGTACCGTACCTCAAGTTAAACTAGGCTTAGTCATGCCAGTACAACAGTAGGCCGTAGACTAGTTCACGTACAACACATTCATGATTTGGCTTGCAATGTTGTTAAATTTGACAATAAAAAATATGCCTGCTCGAGCTCCATCCGACGAAAATCTTTCAACCCCGGTAATAAACGAAACCCTCCTTTTCTGAATATTACATATATTTAAACACAGTTTGGTTCTACGACCTGATTGAGAGAGATTTCACCCACCTGAAACACAACGGCAAAAGGTAGTCAGACGGCATGCGCTCGCTACCGTCGCGACCCGCGTGCGAAATTTGCGCATATGCATATGAATGGGGCGTTTTGCATCCTGGTACATCAGTTGCTTGCNATAGTCTGGGTTCCAGACCTCTTTGACCGAACCCAGACCGTGCCCCCAACGTTGCTATCCGTAAAAGGGTCCCGGATGCTTAGCCTGGTTCCGGTTCCACTGGCATGTTCCCGTCCATGATTTTTGGGTTTCTGACATGAATTACAGATGGCCTGCAGCGGCTAAAATGCTTCGCAAATCTTCATAAGACAAAAAATCCATTAAATGTTAACGCTTACTTTAATAAACCAAACACTCTGTTAAATTACAGCGGAAACATATTTTTGGATTTCTTTCTTCTGTTAAATTGCAAGAGATATGACTGGCCACATTTTAAAAGTGTCCATAAAAGATTTCAAGTAAAATAAATGGAAAATTCTGTTGAAAGCCACTTAGATCGTTTCTTTTAGGAATTTTCTGTGAAATGGCAGTTGGTGTGCGGATAAAACGATTCAAAAAAGAATTTCGTACGTAAACAGACCATCAACAATCAGGATCAACGCCCTCTTTGAAATTCAGTGTACAAAACGGGTTTCAAAGAGTATGTAAAAATGTTTTCTTTTTATATAAATCTCATCTGTTAAACTGCAAAAGTATGATTGCTGAATGTTTAAAGGGTGTTCATTAAAAAGAAAGAATTGTCTGAAACCAACCAAAATTTCAATAAAATAACAGGCGTTTCAAGAAAACAAATCACAAATTCTGTTGAAAGCCAGTTATTTCGTTTTTTTAGAAATGTTGCTGTAACATTACAGATGGTCTGCGGGTACAATGATTCACAAAACTATTTGTACGAAAACAGATCCCTAATTAAAAATGAGAATTACTCTAAATTCACGAAGCACTTGGTGTAATTACAGAAAATCGCTTAATGGGGTCTGAAAGCAAAAGAAAATCATGTAAAAGAACAAATTTTTTTTAAATTTAGAAATATTAAATTGCAGAAAATTTCCAGTCAAAACAATTTACTGAATGAGTCTGTATTTTTTTTTCTGTAAAATCTCCTGTTTTTTTTAACAGTGTGGTGTAGAGCCACACCAAATGATGTCTCTGAGGGAGAGAGTTTGATTATGTTTCCTAGCAAAGTTCCCTGAACAACTTGTTTGCTGCCTCGTTTCCCTCTCCGCTGATTCTGCCAATGGTGCCAGGCCCCTTAGGTTCTTCAGTTATTTCCTGCACATGGTCAATTATCTTGTGGAGATAATTTAGCCATTGGGCATACGTGAAGCTGGTCAGCAGCAGATTCCCCATTTCTACCACACATAGTTTGTAGGTGCTGACAGCTTCTGGATCAGGGCGATGGGCATGGTATACCATACGAAGACGAAATAAGTTCAAAACTTTGGCCAGGCTCTCTTTTCTGTTTCCGTGCAAAACGAGTCCCAAGAAATTTTCACCTTTCTGGTATCGAAAAAATTGTGGGCAAAGTTTCCTGGCATCATCAATTTCGGCACCAACCTAATAGTTGATGTGATGTGCTTGTTAAATCTCTTCTCTGCAGCTTCAAACGTTGGCTTAACATCCTCTGTAATGTCCCCTCTCTAGACCCTGGCAATTTCACAGACAAGGAGCTTCTTGAACAAACTACCCAAATTAATGTCAGGGCGAATGGCATTGAGGAGTTAATCTTTTGGCTCTGATTTGAGAATTGGGTGGGATTTCACTCCCCCAGCCACTTTTGCAAGTTCTGATGCTGACAGATTGTCAGACTGGCACACCTTCTCTGGGATCATCCCTTACATCTCGAGCGGTTGTAAAATACTAGTTTTACTGATACCTATTGTTTGTTTGTTGGCTGGTTGGGTTTGAGTTTTTTTAATCTTTGGCTGTTCCTCTCCCATAGTATTTAGTCCACCTGCCTAAAACATTTTCTTGGGCTGTCTCCCCACATGGTTTTTCCTTCATGATAACAAAAACGAACAAACAGTAAAAGTATAAACCAGAAAGGAAAGCAACAAATAGACCTTACAACACATATTAAAGGTCAATACCCTGATACCTACATCAGTGAAAAGTTAAATCCTCCCATCTCGTCCTTGTATAGTTTTCCATACACTTTGCGGACAGCTTGCTGCTCGGAAAGAATGCTTATAATTGTTAAGATTGCTCAAAGAAAATCAAGGGCAATTGCGGTTTGGTTTTCTTTTTACCAAGAAAAGTGAGTTGTTCCCTTTGTGTTCACTCACAATGACAGTTTGTTCCGAACTTTAATACTTTCAACCTCCGTTGGTTTGACTGTTTTTTTCGTTTCTGGTAGAAATTTAAGTTAAAAACTTGGGAAGAGATACGTATGCAGAAATTGTTTCTTCTTAATTGATTACATAGAATATTTATTAACTCACTGAGCTTTCATGTGGGACAACAACAGGTTTGCCTCCTGAGTTGCTCCGGCATGTCTCATGTTCTGTCGTATTTCTTGCAGTTCCTCATTTAGCTTCTTCAGCTTTGTGTCTTGTTTCTTGTTTTGCATGTATAGCATGCATAGAGTTACTTCAGATGGTGCACTGAACCCCTAAACCAGTCATTTGGAAATACATGTACGTAGCAGGACAAGTTTTTATCACAACATTTAGCATACTGACTCATCATCGGGACAGGTTTTGCATCTGCTGTTTTCCAGTCTCCCTTTATTCACACTTGAGCTTAGTTCTGTCACATCAGTTTACATCACTACTTAAAATGATAAACTATAACTTTATATTATTTTCGAAGAGACTTGCGAGATATGGAGGGTTGTCAACCACTGAAGAACCACCCCCACATCCAAAGTGTTGTGTGTTCTTCCCTTTTCAATGAAATGCATTGGTGAAGTTTATGCCTAAAGTTTTTGCTGTGTTCAGATGTTTGCATGACTTAATGTCGTAGGTATTAGTAATAACTGAATCGGGTTCAAATTGTTGCTGATATTTCACTTGAAAATAAGCCTCAAAATTTGACCAAAGAGAACTGCAACTTAAAAATGCCAAAAACTTAATATGAAATTAATGATCCAAATATTTGAATTCCATGCTTGTCGTTAAATGTGCTTAATTTACCACTGAAATGATTCCCGCTAAAGTATTGAGCGAAGATGAAGACTGTCCACTCCTCTCGGACAAAATGGACGATGTACATGTAGATTCTTGGCTTTCAGATTCTCTATTGCTAGAAGTTAGTGTTGAGGTTGCTTGTGGGAATCCAACTGCATTCAGAGGGACATCTCCCCTGCTTCCCAGGGTGCCGATTGGATGTCTTTTCTGCAAGTTCTTTCTTAAGTCTCAAGATCCTTTTCCTGTCCTCCTCTCATCCCTTCGATAATTCTTTGATTTTCTCCTTCAACTCCTGGTTCTCTTCCTTGATTTCTCGATGATTTTGCCTACTCCTGGAAGCAAAGGCAAATTGTGTCCAAGGTTGTGTTGTGCCCAGCTTCCTGGGATGACGGTGCTGCAAAGTGGGCCGCCGAGCTTTATTCTGTAATATACCCACACTGGCCATGGAATTGCTTTAGTTTTCCCAGGTTTTCCCCTTTTAAGTTGCTGGCCAAATGTTGATTTCAAGAGTTTGTCTGTTTTGCAAGTGCTTAAAGATGGGAATAATGCTTTAACTTTCTCATGGGCTAATTTTACTGGTACACGTCCATTTTTATTGACTTAAAAAATATCATGAATTGCTTTTGTCTAAGATTCCATATTAAAAAATCAGTATACGCAATGAACCAGATGGCAAAATAGGTGCTGAACAAAAAAAAAAACGGATCGATAGAATGGAGTTGCTGCACCACCAGGTTGAAATATTTTTTGCACAAAGATAAAATGTTGGTTGTTTATAATAAACCGGATGGATTTGGGGATTTGTGTGCTGATGTGCTGACCCGAGCTTATTCTTTAATGCTGATCTAAGCTTATTCTATACCAGCCAGAGTCCACGTCTGCAAGTCCACATCAACATGCTGACCTGGCACTAAGGCCACAGACCACAGCCAGGCCATGTACATGCAACTAACCTTCAATTGTGACTTAAAAAAGACCACTCGTACGATCAATACAATTTGATATGGTATCAGTCTGTGTGTAAAGCGTCCACTTAGAAAAAAACACGCTTTAAACAATAAAAGAGTTCAGTCAAGTGTGTGTTAGATGCGGATCCCTTTTGGCACTTCAAAAGCATAAGTGTAAATAGTAAATATGCACAAGCAGCGTTTGCCAGTATAAGCTGCTTTTATATTCCCATGTTACCATAGTGATTAAAGGGAACTTCCACTCCACTGTATTAGCTAAAGCGTGGTGTCAACCACCTACATCCGTTGTCCATAATTACAGACTGTTCATGCCGGATTCTGTTCTATCTGCACTACCTTTCGGTATAGAACCTAGGCTCAACCCAGTGTCACAATATCCTGACTATTGGCCTGAGTGTCCGGGGCAAGTGGACGCTTTCCCCCCGGAAATCAGTCATAATTTTGAATTCAATTATATCCTAAAATTGCACTTCAGATTACACTCTAGAATAAACACCCATGAAAAAAACATCTTCAAAACTTTGTTGGAAGGCGTTATAGGCACGTATACGTTGGTGTTGCCCCTAACTTCAAACACCCTTTACAAAAAAAAAACACATGGAAAAGAAATATGTGGATGACCATGACTGTCGGTGAAGGTTACTAATGCATAAAGTGTCATTTGGGTGAAACTATGATAGTGTGGTGAGTAGAGAGTTGGTAGAGGGAAGAACATACATGCAATTAATAATAGAGGTGGGTTATTTCATGTATCAGATGGAGTTTATTTACTGTTCAGAACAATGGAGATACAGACCAGAAAAATATTGTCGGTTGCTAATTTGGAAATATTTCCTTGGTGTAACATACAATCTCTGGTCATTGATCAGATACAGGTACATCCCAGAGTACAAACCTACTGGTGTAGCCTAACTCAGGGTTAAATTAGCAGAGCAAATTCAGACAAGCTTTTGAATATAGTTATTACAAAATGGATAAAGAATTAGGACTAAATCTTTTTTAAATGTTTATCTTAGTCTGAAGAAAGCATCGGGTGCACATGTTTCCAAGAAATCAGAAAAGGCCCTTCAAAAGGACCTATGATTCCCTAAGACCCCTTACATGTAACACTGCAGGCAAATCCAATTATTGCAAAAATGCTCTTTCTATGGACCCTGTACTTTAACGGCACATATAGTAAATCTAGAAAAAGTATATATATTGCAAACTAATATAATTATGGATAAGGACTGTCCTCGTGGGTAACCTATCCAGTCAAGTCAGTGCAAGTTGTTTTAAGGATATCCTATAATGTGCACAGTTTACATGTAACTGCAAGAAATGATACATGTAGTTTATTGTTTTCATCTTTCAATATTTGTGCACACAAATAATCCAAGTACAAATTTAAGCGTTTCCTCACATAAACTAATCAGATTGGCTTTTCAAGAATCAAATTATTTTCCCTCCTGTCAATAAGTCATCGTCCCCCTTTCCTTTTTCTCCTGGAGTTTACCTGTAAATATGTGCCACAAGGATCTTCAAGTTGTAAATAAAGACAGTGCTCATGATGTGAAAAGGAACTTACATGAAATGCTTTATAGACATTTTCATTACATGTGCATGTCGCAGGGTCTATCCCAGATTAGGGAAACCCCGATGATGTAATTCCCTACCAGTTCGATCAACTCGACAAAATAAAAAAAACAATAGTCATTAAAGATTTAGGTTAATGTACAGTTCGAATTAAACGGGAACTTTAATTCTGGTCACTCGCACGATCTTCAACTGGAAATTGAAGCGGAGAAATATGAATCAGAAATACAATCAATGACAAAACACACAAATGAAAATACACAGAATTTACAATGACTTATATAAAAAAATAAAAAAAGGATAGGGTGATAGCGGCTGCGTCTCCTACGGTCTCGTCTGGGTCTTGCTTCCGCTTGGACGATAACCGCGCTCAGTTACGTCCGGGAACACGTGATCAGAAAGTCCACAACAGACGAAAAGTTCAAAGTTCTCGAATGTATCGAAGCGAATGAGGATCCCGGGGACGTCCAAGGAACGTACCAGCAGGCGGCAAAGGGAAACTTCAGGGAAAACAGCAACCGTT